ATATTAAAGTTTTTCTTCATTACCCATTTAAGCCGTCTCCAGCCATTATTAGTCTCAAAGTGGGTTCCTCGTCATCGAATTTGACCATCACATTATAACACCCCCAAGGCTGAAAGGGTGAGTATATTTGGTGGGACGGGGATTCGAACCCGTGACCTTCAGGTTGCGAGTCAAGCAGCCTAACCAACTGTGTCGTGTGAAATTCACCCTAGCTCCATCAAATCTTAAATGTGACTTTATTAAACAAAGGTGAAAAGAAAATTATAAAATTTAAAAACATCAGTTTTACTTGGAATAGCGTGTTCCTGAAGATGACTGGCAAGAGTTATACTTTCTTTAAATATAGTGATTATGTATAGCTGTCACGAAATTGGGTTTAAGGTGTAAACTTGAAAATAAGAACAAGATCCATTCAAAATAACTATTCATTTTATAGCCCTCATAACTTTTATGTAATGCTTCAGACAGAGTGAACATTGAAAATTTGAATGTTATGAACTTATTTTTCTGATATGGTTATATTGATGCTTGAGTAGAACAATGAGTAATTAAAATGTAAATATCGTGTTTCTGTTAGAATCGTCGACTTGGAGCCCCGAGGATGCAAATTTCGTGTTAATTTATGTGCCCTGAATAAATTGTTGATTTCACTAAAAGTATGTAAAATATCATTATGCACTTCTGAACCTTCAAGTACAGTCTTTGGCCTAGAGTGTTTCCATATAAAGATCATTCCACATTTTGTAAATTAAAAGGCTAAATCCATTAGGATTTTATATTATTCAATACTTTTAGTGACATTAAGTCTTAGTCAAAACAGCTGTAAAGGATATAACTGAAGGTGAATAAGATTCAAGAAAGGAAAAGTTAAACTGTGATAAAACATATTAGGAAAACACGTCGAGTCAAAAATCAATTAAATCCAAAAAAAAGATGAAATGCTATTACCAGAGTGCTTTTGAAAGGTTAACCTTTCTTCGTCAGGGGCAAACACACTCATCCTTTGAATATTTAAAACAGTGTAACAGAATTCTTCCATAAAGATGCACCTAAGAAATGTATTGTAACTGATGACAAAGGGGGTTGTACACTTCGGCCTATAGGTGCAACAACTGGGAGGATGAGGTGAATGGGATGTGCCCCCTCATCTTTTTTAGGTACATCAAACTAATATGTATATATATATTCATTGGCAATAAAATGCTTATGTTTGGTTACAAATTAGAATCATAAACAGTAATGCAGCGTTTTCTGACTTTCATTCAAACCTTAGTTGCCAAACCTCAGATGTGTTGATCGAGTAGAATGATAAGTAATTAACATATCTAGCTATTGTATCTTAGATCAGATGTTTCTAATTTCTCTCAGCCCAAGGACCCTCAGAATATTCTGCATCTTGATGCTCCCCCCCATCCCCCAAAGGATCTATAGATACTGAGTACCTTAACAGTATTATGAATTGTTTAAATGGATAGTTATGTGTTAAAATGCCGGTGTGCCAATTTTGTTTCAGAGGAATCGAAATAAAACTTAATATTTATCTTTCATTAACATTAAGGCCAGTGACAATACTCGCATCAGTCAACTTCTGGTGGAGCGGGAAACACATTTAGAGGAATTACAAGCTGCCCTTGCAAGACAAGAGGAAACCTACGTTGACAAATTTCAGCTTCTGGAGAAAATGCAGAGTGAAAAGGTTGCGGCTAGTAGAGCGATGGTTCAGAACAAGCAGCTCAAGCAACAGTTGGAAGAACTACAAGATGGTCTTGTTAAAGTTGTAAGTCAGTATGAGTTTGTGTAATAACAATTCAGTGAATTGAGTGCGAAGTGACTGACATGTTAATTGTTTTACATCTTTAATGTATAACTCAGTTAATGGAACAACCATCCAACAGTGTCAGAGAAACAAAAGCAAGAGATGTCGATAAAGAACACCAACTAATTGAAAAGTCACTGTTAATCCTGACTCTGGGTAGTTGATGTTCGAACAGAGTTGGAGAAAACAAAACGGGAGATGTTGATATAAAATACCAATTTGGTGAAAAGTTACGTTTAAGTCTTACTCTGTGTAAATTGGTCTTGGAAATTAATATTTTTATTTTGAGCTTGAAGTATTTATTATACAAGTTACTTGTTGGCACTTAAGTATACGTGTATTTAGAATAAAGAAAGAGACATTGGGAACATAGCGCTATTATAATGTTTTCAAGTACTTTGAAATTCCATTCTCAACTTCAAGGACTTTAAAGGATGCATATATACCTTGATTAAAACTTTTCTTCAGAAGAACATTAAATCTAACACAAGGAAAAGAAAGTCACATGTTTACTTTGATAATCAGAATATATCAATATATCTAATATTAATGCATGTTGCAGAGTTGAACACAATAAATAAAGTCTTTCTTTTCTTTTTGTAGTCTACCTTCATATGTTGAACAAATGAATAAGAATTTTATAAAATTTTTTGGAATCCGATTGATTTTGATGTAGATTTTAGATTCCAAAAAAGTGCTTAGAAAGTCCTTGAAAAAGTGTTTAAAATTGATCTCAGCAGTTCAGTATGAATAGTGTTTTATAGGTGGCTAATGCTAAACAGCTGCACAGAGTTTTTAATTTAAACAGATTTACAGTGTGATTTCAGGCTGAAGTATTTTTTGTACTTGAATAGATTATTCTATAATAATTTATGCTTTAGAATGTCAACATTTTCAAAGTGTACTACAACTCCACAAGACGTTTTTTTGTAGATTTTAATAATTTCAATAGTGTGGTATATTTTTGATAAAATAAGTTTATTTGTCAAGACATATCTTTGTTTTTACAAAAAATGTTTTCATTGCTTTCAGCTTTTTTTCTGTGACTTAATAGTCACAGAAACCCCTAGAATACTTTTTGACTATACATTTTTATAACTATATATATATAATTGTATTTAGTTTGTTAAAATATGTAGAAGGATAGATGCTTGCAACCAAAATTTTTTATTGAAAATCGTACCGAAACAAGAATTTGTAGTCATTAACTGCTATCAAAATTAGGCAAACTGTTGTGTGTATGCGTGTCATTAATTCAGGAGTAAATGTGTGTTCTTCTGTTGGCTGAAGTGCACCTTTTAATTCTGTGAAACTGTTCTTTTGAAATAAATATTTAATCTCTTCCTCGTGCCTCCTTATTTTATGTTCATACTATTGTAGCCTAAATGATTATTCTTATGTAAGATCTTAAACATATTGGACTTTTAAGCTCAGCATAATTTATTATTAAAATCTGTTGATAGAATAATGACAAATTGGAGCTCACTGAACAGTTACATCATGAACAGCACATCAGTAAAGAATTAGGACAGAGACTGACCGACCAGGAGGAAGAACTTTCTGAACTCAGAAACCAGGTAACTAATAAGTAATCTTTGAACATCTTGAGTACAGGAACTTAACACCATGTGAAGTGATTTGTGAAAGAAAGTGAACATTTTTACATAAAAGAAGGTAAACCAGCGTAAAATTAAAATAACTGTTAGGCTTTTGAATTCACTTATAATAAATTGGATAGAGAGATATGAATAAAGTGTATTTTTCTCTAGGTAATATTAGTAGTTTCCTGAAGAATTTAAAGTCTTAGTGTTAAGAATGAGACACGATATAATGCTTTATCAATGCAGAATATTACTCAAGTTTTTTGTCAGTAACGGCAACATTGTAATATAGTATGAAAGAAGTTAAACGTATTTAAAGTTAAAAAGTCAGCAAAAATATACTTGATGATATCATCA